CCTCCAGCTCCCCTAAAATCAATAGCCCAGCAGCCACTGGCATCCTTGAGAGCTGCCATTTTCCAAGGCATCACTGCAGCCTAGCAGAGGGTGCGCACGGCTCTCAGCAAGCACATAGCCTCGCCGCTGCCCGGGCTGGGGGCTCTGCACCACACCAAGCCTTTAATCCCAATTTAGTGGCCCTTTGCTGTCAGTGTAAGTGTGTGCCAAGGGGTCCAGAGCCACGGCACAGGACCGCGGTTGCTTTAGGCTGAGCTGGCTGGAGGTTCGCAGGGAGGGATGCCAGGAGCTGGAGGAGCGTGCAAACCCCAAGGTGCAGAGCGGTCACCCCCTAAAACGTTCCCGGGCTCTTGGGAGGCTGCACCGTCGCTGCGGGTCTGGCTACAAAATCATCCTCTGGGTCATTCCTGGGGTCCCGCCCTGGAGCTGGGGTGCAGGCAGGGCTGTGCACCAGGGCCAGCCTTCGGGAACACCGGCACAGCGTTTGCTCGGCTGCCCTGCCAAGGAGGCAGCGAGGGGACGCTGCAAATCGCAAGTTCTTTGAGCTCATGAATTAAAAATGTACTAGACTTAATTACTGCCGGGGTTTCTCTCTGGAGCGGCGCTGAGCTGCAGGCAGGCACCGAGTCAGGGCTGGTGCAGGGGGAACGGGTAGAGCCAGTGGAGAAAGCTGGGGTAAAGGTGGCTCAAAATGAACCCCCGGGAGAGTTTTCAGTGGGGGAACCCTGTGGCTCGCAGCCCTGAATTCACCTTGATTTGGGCAATTTTGGGCTGAGGGCATAGGTACTTGTGGCAGTCACCTTGAAGGAGAGCGGCTGCTCGAAGATGGGCACAGGTGGGTGGCAAAGCATCCCACCTCCCCTCCATGTTTACGTAGGGTCTAGCAGAAACAGGGCCCCAATCTTGGCCAGGGTCTCTCTGAGCCTGTGCACGGTGAGGGCTGGTTTCCACTGACCCACATTAAAATGAGATTTTTCCGTTCTGCTCTTGCTGCAGGGGCGGCTCATCCTGTCCAACAAGACAGCTCGCACCGTTGCCTTCTTCTACACCCTGTTCCTGCACTGCCTCGTCTTCCTGGTAAGTGCGGGGGCCACGGGGTGAAGCGGGGGGTACCCCAATAAGATGTCAGCAAGCATCCCACCCAGGGGGAAGTTTTGCTTTTTTAAGACACTGTGCCAAGCAAGTGCATTGCAGCTGGTATATCATCGGCTCCAGAGGCACGGTGTGGCCGGGAGCGTGGGCGGCACGGCTCAGCGGGGATGTGTATATGCCAATAAATATTCCCTTTGGCTTCACGGGGTGGGAATGGGCACCCTCGGGTGGGCACGGGCTTGCCCAAGGACAGGAGCTGGAAGCCGTCTGTGTCTTCATGTCGTGCCTGGAAACAGCCACGGGGCCCTGGTGCCACCGTGCTGGGAGCTCACACGGGGTTTAGCGTATTTGCATGGGGGTCTGGTTCACCATCCCTGCACGTGGGCAAGCAAGCCCTCCGCTCGTCAGGCAGCAAAATTTTGATTCATTATCGTGAAGCTAATACCATAAGCAATTTTAGGAATAAAATACATCCCCAAGTCCCCACGTTGCCTGTTTCTAGAGCATGTGCAATTCCACCTTCCTATTTCTGGGTGCATCCCTTAACCTCCTGCACGGTGGAGCTCGGTTACGTTCACTGCTTCTCCAGGTGCTGAGCTCTGGCTCTGCATTACGCTATGCGAGCTCTGGTTCTCCCCATGTTTCTTACTTGCTCTGTGGCTCTGTTTTTCTCTAATTTTCAAATTTCCCTAGCCGTACATTAGGGTTGGAAGTAGAGAAGTAGAGGTTTGGTTAGGAAGAGAGGTTTGAGCCAGCCTGATTTCCCTGGGAGTCAGTCATGGTGCAAACACCTCCTATATCCTTGCACAGTTTCTGGGAGTTTATTTATCATTTCATGGGGAAAAAAAAAGCAAACAAATCATACAAATCATCAATAATTAAACAATGAATCAAGATGAAAGACAAATCAGAACAATATTTCTATCCTGATCTTCTCAAAGTAAAAGCGACTTTGTGTTATCTTGGTGAGGAAAAGAGCAAAGAAAATAAAAAGTTAAACATCATTAAACTTTAAAGCTCTAACCTAAAAAAAAAGTAAAATTCATAAATATTACATGGCTGGAATGATCTTACTTCATCTAGACATAAAAGGGCCTGAAATCCAGCACCCAATGCTGCTTGGGCTGGGCACGCACCTTGTGTCCGAGGGGGAACTGGACAAACCCTCGGCTCCTCCATCCCTGCGGTGGGAGCAACGCCTTTGCCGCTAATCCCAGGAGAGAGCGCAGCCTTCACCCCTTCCCAGCCGCTGCCTTCTGCCTGTTGTGATTTCAATTAACCTTAATTTGAAGGCCCACTGATGAGTGGTTGTGGAGTTGGAGTATTTCCCTGGCTTACAAATCCCCAAGGCTTGAATGCATCAGCCTGGGACGGCAGGGCTTCTTCTCCCTCTTTCCAAAACCCACCGCTACCTCCCCGCCTCCTTGGACCAGAGCTTTGAAATGGAAACCCAGTGGCGTGAAGGGAAAAAGGAGCCAAACCGAGCAGTGACCTTCCTTAAGCCTCTTCCAAAAAGGCATCTCCATCCAAGTGCAGCCTCGAGCGTGCCCGTCTTACCCCAAACCACCGCAGCTGCGGCAGCTCTGCCCCAGCAAAAATAACCCACTGGAAAAGGTCATCCTGACCGTCCTGAGGGCAACCCCCTGAAACACACGCTGAGTTTCTCCACGCTGGTAACACAAGGCTGCAAAACCAATTTTACCCGGAGCATCGCTTTAGGTCTCTGCTTGATGCACAAAAGCCACGGGTGTCTGCAAAACGCTGCAGCAGAGATTTTGCTGGTGGCTGCAGGGATGGGATGGCAGGAGACGGGATGGCAGGAGACGGGATGGCAGGAGACGGGATGGCAGGGATGGGATGGCAGGAGACGGGATGGCAGGAGACGGGATGGCAGGGGACGGGATGGCAGGAGACGGGATGGCAGGAGAC